GTTCAGAGCCAAAAGAGCCGGAAATCCCATCACTAGTCAGCACACTCTCAATGGAGCAAGACTACAGTCAGCAGGTGGGTTTTTCTGAGGATTCTCAGAAAATGGAGATGCGGTTGGGCAGTTGGTGTTAAGGTCCACGTGGTTGTCTGCACACCAATCCGACAGCCTCTGAACCTCAGCTCTGTATGCTGTCTATTTGCCCCCAGAGATGAGCCCCACCACAATAGTATCATCTGCCAACTTAATGACTGCATTGTCTGGGTGGGTACTGACACAGTTATATGTATGCAGAGTGTACAGTAGGGGACTTAGTACACAGCCTTGTGGAGAACCGGTGTAAAGTGCTCAGGAAATAAGGGGACTTACTCTAACTCTATGTCCATGGCCCAAGAGAAAGTCTCTGATACAGCAGCAGGTGGTAAAAGGAAGTCTAATATCCAACAGTTTTGCTGTCAGTCTGTCTGAGAGTATCATATTAAAAGAAGAGCAAAAGCCAACAAACAGCAGTCTGGCATGACGCCCTTGTTGTTCCAGGTGGGAGAGGGTGGTGTGGAGGTTTGTAACAATGGTGTCTTCATTTGATCTCTTACCTCTGTTTGCGAACTGAAGTGGGTGAAATGTGGTTTGCAAGCAGGACATACTGTGGCACCAGACCATGTTCTAAAACACATTATTATAACAGGTCGTAGAGCAAGTTAATCGGTAGTCTTTGAGGCTGCTAATGTTGGTTTGTTTAGGCAGTGGGACGAATGTGGCTGACTTCAGGCATGAAGGGATGCAGGACTGGGACAGCGAAGTGTTAAAGATCTTCGTGAAGAACCCAGCCACCTGATCTGTGCACTCTTTTAAAAAGAGCTTAAATATATTTAAGAAGCTTAATTCTGTCAACATATTTGCTGAATTCTGTTTTGTGCATTGAAAATAATCAAAAGATACTTTGGAAAACTGTGGTTACTTAGTTAGTTTGGCATTAATTAGTTACTAACTACCCTTTAACCAACAAAACAAATCAGATTACTAACCTTTCTTAATCAGGCATTTCTTTTTTACCTGCCATTTAAACAGTCTTTGTCTTCTGTTACAACATTGTCATTCAATTCTTTCAGTTAAAACGAAGGAAAACAGCCTGTTTGAAGAAATGAACATGAAAAATAAAGAAACTAAACAAACTTCTGACACAAATGGTGAGTTATACAAAGCAAATGCAAAACCACTACTTTTACTACAAGGCATCATGCAAAGTACTAACCAGCCTGTCTTACAAACTGGAAGGGTAGAAAATTTGGTGCCTCATAATCTGCAAATGACAGTGACCTCAACAGAAAAACAATAGTTTTTTTTTGTTAGTCACTTTAACTAACAAACTAGACTTGACATCCACCAAATTACTCACATTGACTACCTTTTTTTTTCTTGCCATGAAATCATTCTTTGTCTTCTGCTACAAGGTTACCCTTTAAGTCTTTCAGTACGAAGGCAGGAAGAAAATTTATATGAAGAAATGAACGTGAAAAACAAAGGAACTGAACAACCATCTGACACAAATGGTGAGTTATACAAAGACAATACAAAACTGCTACTTTTACGACAGGAACTGATATGAAACTTGCTTAGAAACTGGAAGTGTGCTGTTGCCATTTTCCTTACAAGAGCTTAATGACAACATCCTCGCAAATCACATTTTGATATGTACAGGATTCACTGTTATTGAAGTTTGATCCATAATATGGGCTTCACCTTGGTTTTGTCTCTGAACTTTTTCAAACAGATTTTTCTGTTTTTCCCTAGACAGTAATTTAAAAAGTTCATTAATTAGAATGGTTTTATGATTATAAAAAGCCAATTGATGATTTTAAGTTGACACAAGCAATTTAAAATCTTAAAAGTAAGAATTAGTTTGATTGCTATAATAAGTATTTATTTCTCCTAGATAAGCAGTGTGCATGTATAAAATCTTGTACATCAATAACCATTTGCTGGGGTATTCTGTTACTGATCATGGCCCTTCACATCTATTGTGAGTATAACTTTCAAAATTAGTTCATCTGCAATGTGTGTGTAAAGCCAAAGAAGTGTTACATTTTGTTTTTCAGTTACCACATTGTTAATTCATAAGAACAAAGACTTATTGAGGAGTCAACTCAACTGGACGAACACCTCCACTGCCTTTGAAACACAGATCAGAGACCTCATTGCAGAAAACCAGAACCTAACAGAACAAATAAAACTCATGAAGATGGAGCTCAATCTTGGTCCAGGTCAGTGCAGTGTTGATGCCTACTGTCCCGAAGAAAATAACACTAGGCTCCAAATCTATCAGCTACAAAAATAGGTCATGTCAAATAAATGTGCACTGATGATCTTTATTAAGTGATTTTTATACTTGCAGAAAAGGCATGCAAAGCTTGTCAGGAGGGCTGGCTTACCTTTGAGTCAAACTGCTATGCAATTAATGATGCTGAACCTCATGAGCAGAAAACCTGGAAAGAAGCTCGAGAAAACTGCAAAGGAAAGATTTCTGAATTGGCTGTTGTAATTAATGCCGCAGAAAAGGTAATAAGAACTGTGGCTCATTAGCACAAATTTATTTAACAAAAATACATTTTCTTTTGATCTAAATACACTCTGTGTCGCAGTGTTTTAAGCAAACGATCTAAATACTCAAACTAATTTGAGTATTTCTTTTTTTTTTTTTTTTTTTAATTCGAGTATTTCTGATAACTTTCTCTTTTATCAGAAATATATCAGTGACAAAAGCTGGAAGAGTTCAGGAGAAAATGGATACTGGATTGGTCTGAGAGCTGAAGGTGGGAAATGGACATGGGTGGATGGAAGTTATCTGACTGATAAGTAAGAGAAACTTTGAATCAATAACAATTTAATAATATTTTTCCAAACCTGGGATATATCAATTTTGTTTTATACCAATAATTATCAGCTTTAATCAAACTTGTTTTTTTTCCTCAGCTCCTGGATTCAGCAGCCTCCTTCTGATGGTCTCTGTGTAATTTCTGTCCAAAACGAAGGATTTAAATCAGTGAACTGTGACCAGAAGAAACAATGGATTTGTAAAAAGAGACTCTAAGTATTTGAATTACCGCAGATAGACTTCAGAAGACTTTTGTAATCTCTGTAAATATAATTGCATATTTGCAAATAGCTCATTTGGCAATCCGGTAGAAAGTTGACTCCCTTCGTTATTCCCTTCTGGGCCGCCCTTTCACCCTCTATTCACTAGAGGTCCATTATCTATGAGCAAATGGCTCAAGGCTGTTTTGATAACATGACAAAAGCATGCTAAGAGGGCCTTGTGACTGATCAGCAGATATCATGAGCTGACAAGGGCAGGAAATATGTCTTTTAAACCAATACTTTACATTGACTGGCATACACGCATTACAGTGATACATGCATGGTTTTACTACTGACTTCAGTCATCATGATAATTCATATTTCAGTCTGCAAACAGGTTCATCTTTAGAAAAATGCTTTTTGCCATTGTGGTTTACAAAAGATTTGCAATTGTTTTAAAACGTCAATTGTTTCAGAGGCTGGATCAGAGGCTAATTTTTCCCACAGAGATCATAACAACTGCTCTGCAACCAGACCTCGTCCTTTGGTCTAACTCCCAAAAACATGCGTACGTCATTGAACTGACGGTACCATGGAAGGGAGTAATTCAGGAAGCATTTGAACGTAAGAAGCTGTGGTATGCCAACTTGGCAGGCAGAGGACAGAGCCTGGAAGATCAAGGTGCACCTGGTGGAAGTGGGGTGCAGGGGCTTTGTTGCCAGTACAACAGCAAAACTGCTTAGAGAGATTGGGTTCAGAGGACAGGCACAATGGCAGGCTATAAGAGAATTAGCTAACACTGCAGAGAGGACCAGTCACTGGCTATGGCTAAAAAGGGCTGACATCACTTGGGCAGCTAAGGCAGTCAGCTAACCGCTCTTCTCCCCTCTGCTCTTCTTCCCTTTTCCTGGGAGGCAGTGGGGAGGTGTAGGCAGCCAGATCGGGCGCCCCCCTTCTGGCTCTCCTCTCTGCTCTTTCCTGTCTTGTCCCTTTTGTCTTACTTCTCTCTATCACCTTTTCTATCCATTTAAAGAAGTGAGGCTCTGTCAGGGTTATATTTTATGATTGTCATTTGTACTTAGAAATATATAATCATTTATGCTTAGAGGTATAAAATCGCTTGCATATTGATAAAATGTCTCATCCTTAGTAGGTCTTTAAGACTCTGTGTACCATGAGATGAGAGTACGTTCACTCCTTTTCCAGAGTGTTCTGGCATAGCACACACATCCTAAGGTCACGACAGAGGTCGTATCTTCTCTTTCTCGTATATGGTATGGCAAACACATCTGTATCTGTTTAGGTATAAGAGCCTTTTGTTTAGGTGAACTGCTGGACTCCCTGGCCCAGCTATCTGGGGAGTCATTCACAGGGTCACATTTTGACACACGCACACACACACACGTACACACACACGCATACATACACACACCCATGTACACACATACACCCACATACATACACATACACACGCATACCTACAAATACACACAGACTGGTACTATTTGTTTACACACATGCCTGTTTAAGATGTCATATGTTAATGAAACTGCATATTCATGTAACCACAATAAAGAGCGGTGCTACGGAGGTGCTGACCGAGAGTGACGGGGTTCAAGCGGCAGGAACAGCGCTCGGTCTCGGTCACCTCCCTCGTGCACGAGATCACACAAAGAGCTCTGGTGTCTTGTGTGTTGTTTTTGCCACTGCAGTAGATTGTCTCAGTTGTTCCAGCAATAGGTTTGTGCCTAGATAAACCTAACAGGCTCTATAAAGGCTAAAGAGAGATAAGTATTATTTCTCAGTTGCAGTGAATCGATAGAAGAAAATAAACAGTAGAAAACTAAAGAGAAGAATGAAGAAGAGAATAACAATTTAACATAAACCATTGACACACTCTGGGGCCTGATCAACCCTGGCAGGGCCTCCTTGGATGAGGGTGTCTAGTGATAATGGCTGAAACACCTGATGAATCCAAAGTCCACTACTGGCGATGTGTCCCAAATTTTAATATGATAATGTAGATCAGATCTCTAATCCCTAAACCTAACAGAGGAAAAATGTCAGATTATGTTGGGGTAAAAGACCAAAAGTTGAGGCACACAACAATGTTTGCCGTTATGAGGAAAGCAGTTTCTGGCCTGCTTTCCTCATAACAGCCATCCCTGAAGATTTTCTCCATTTAAAGAAATGCATTATCAGAGATTGTAACATCTAGTCCTTTTACTGAATCATTACCTTCACTAAAGCCAGCGTTGCACAAATTATAAGTCACGCCTCTGCTAGTTTCGCTTTCTGATAGAAATAAAGATTATTGTTAAAGGTTCAGTGTGCGGCAGGTAGGAACTGGACTTAAACATACAGGAAAAGGGACAAAAGGAACAAACTGAAAAAGCAGTTTTATTGATGAACACAAACCAAGTACAAAATAATGAAGGTCAAACACAGATACCAAAAACTGTCACTCTATCAAGGACCCCATCAAAGTTGGAGCAATACAGAATGCACACAGCAAAAGGGAAACATGACAAGTGACGACTGAGATAATATTTACACCAAGATAATAATGAGGCAAAGGGTGGGGGGACAGCTGACACTAATCACAGATAATGGGACAGGAAGTAGAACCAAAACCAAAGAGATAAAAGTGGATTGACAGGTAATTCACTTATCAACTATGCAATCAGGGAACTAAAGGCACAGATCACAAAACCAATCATAAGTCAAAACATAACACCCAAACCAGAAGTCTAAATAATAGAGAATATAGAACCAAACATACAAGATCCGGGTGGTTAGCACTGTTGCCGCACAGCAAGAAGGTCCTGCGTTCAATTCCACCATCAGGCCGGGGTCTTTCTGTGTGGAGTTTGCATGTTCTCCCCGTGTTTGCGTGGGTTCCCTCCGGGTACTCCGGCTTCCTCCCACCGTCCAAAGACATGCAGCTTGTGGGGATAGGTAAAAGAAATATGTTACATTTATTTAAATTTAATGTCATGGTCCAGTGTTTTGTGTTTCATTTTGGTATAATTTTATGTTTTGTTTTACTTCTTATTTTGTATTACTTCTTATGGTTTGGGGCTTGTGTTTTATTATTGCTACCTGTATGTCTCTCTCTTGTGCTCTGTTCGTGTCCCTGAGTTTGTGTTGCAAAACTGTCTGTGAGTTTCCGGTTTTAATTTGAAGGTTTGTGTCTTGTTGTGTCTAATTAGGTTCAGCTGTGTTCCCCTCTGGTGTGTCATTCCCTCGTTACCTTGTGTGTATTTATAGTGTGTGCCTGCCTGTGTTCCTTGTTAGTTTGTCTGTGTTATTTGGTAATCTCCACAGCTCTCTGCTCCGCTTTCTGCTTTCCATCCCCTGTGTAACCTCCTTATGTTTTCCCCTGCATGTGATTCTGTGAGTTATGGTTCAGGTTTTGTTTGTTTGTCATTAGTTTTTCCCAGTTCAGGTTTACGTATAGTTTTGCCCTTGTTTTTATTATTTATCGTTCACTGTAAATAAACTCACTTGCGTCACCGCCACTGTCTGTCCTCCTTCACTTCCCCGCACGACTGCTGCCCCAGTCGTGACATTTAATCATTGCGTTTCATACAAAACCCACAAAAATCTTAAGAGTATGAATACATTTAACTGTCTTTTATGCTAGATAAGAAGACTAGATGTGTTAAATCGTGTCCATCAGTAGTAATGTGCCGGGGAATTCTTTTACTAATCATGGTCATTCTACTATTTTTTGAATATAGTTTAAAAATTACATTCATTTGCAATCTGTGTGTAAAGTAAAAGTAAAATGTGACTTTTTATTTGTTTTAATGTTTTGTTTGGGGGGTTTTGTGTGTTTGCCTTTGTTTGTATTTTTTAATATAAATGAACTTTTAATGAAAACTAATCTCAACTTAGCACAAGCCTATTAGAAAAGTTGACGAGAACTAACTGTAGAAAACCAGAATCTTAGGCATAAAAATGAGCAGCTGGAGACAGAAGAAACATAACTGAAGAAATGCAAAAGAGGATGACATCATGGAATAAGTTCAGTGTTAGTCGAGCTCAGTGGAGCATTGATGCCTGTTGTCCCAAAGAAAACAACACTATTTTCCAAATCAATTGGCTACAAAAAGACATAATTTTGGGTAATGGTAATTGCATATTGTTCAGCTGGTGTGTGTGCGTGCATGTGAGCGCGTGTACGTGTGTGTTTATGAAAGTTTACAATTAATTCACAAAGTTCATAATTATAGAAGAAGTTTTACTGTATACAGAGTAGGTCTGCTGATGGCATTTAATACAACACAGAGTAAGATCTAAATTGGCACTCTGTGGTTTTTCCATTTGTGTCACTAAAGGTTTCTGCAGTGCAGTTTGTATACTGAGGTTCTGTTCCCTGTATTGATGCTGTTTGGCCAACGGAGGGCGATGAGTTACTTCACAACAAGAAGGCTGTTGTCTGAAATATCTGTATTCTGGTATTTTTGTGTTTTTATATAGCTGTATCTGACCGTATGCTTAGCTTAAGTGCATTATATTGAATCACGTTACTGTCACAATATTGTGGAATTTTGACAAAGGTTTCTAATCAAGCCAATAACAACACTGTACAAGCTGCACATATTTAATTAAGATGGGGAAGAAGAGCTGTCCTCTATATCTGTACTCTTCATTCACTCATACTGTTCACATCAAGCACAGAGCTGCAAGGAAGCTTATTAGTATAGTCCCACGTTGTGCATATTACACATATTGTTGGTCAAATCAAGTTCACTGTTTTTTGGTTGTTTTTTGTTTTGGTGGTTGTTGTTTGTTTGTTTTTTTGTTTTTTTGTGTGCATACTTAATAAACATACATAAATACATGCTAAGAAGATTTAAGGTGGTTCTGAGTGCAAAAAGGTGCCCAACATGGTACTAGCATCACTAAGTCTCTGGAGTGTGTGTGTGTGTGTGCAAAAGAATACACAGTGTAAAGTTCAAACATGCTGTAGGACAAGTTGTTTTTTTCAGCCAAAAGCAGAAGCTGGCCTATGCAACAGTGCAACATTGCTTATTGGTCGCAGTGACATCTTCTACAAGACAATGACTGAATTACACTTTAAAAACAGAACAACTGCTGTGATGTATGGTTGGGTGTGAGGGAGTTATAGATATAAGACCAACCATTTGATGGAAGAAGTGCTTCTGTAACTGTTAGAATGAAGATGTGCAGTTTCTGTCCAAAGTAATTGATGGAAATCAGTAAGCTGTGGTGAACCATGAACTAGTGGATTATGCAAACTTCAGAAATCTAATGGCTAGCCTAAGGAGATATTAAGTAAATTAAAACATGGACATTGTAAGCTGTTGCTGCTGTTTGGCCAATAGTGGGCACTGCATTGGTAATCTCTGGCTCTCTTCCATAGTTTGTTCTTTTGTTTTTTTGTCCTGTCTTTGGATGATCGTTGCCCCTCTTAATACTGTTTGAGGTTTCCTCCTCTTAAAAGGGAGTTTTTCTTCCCCACTATTGCCAAGTCCTTCCTCAAAGGGGAATATTTGATTTTTTGGGATTTTCTCTGTATTATTGTGGGGTTTCTACCTTACAATAGAAACACTAGGGCTCTCGAAAGTCTCGGGAATATAATAAAGTCTCACATTATAAAGCAAGTTTAGTCTTTTATAGCTCCTAAAACTATATCATTAGGTTTAGTTCCTTTGCTGGACATCTTGTGAAGAAAAAGGAACCTGTCCTCTGAGCTAACATAATATGATTTTACATGTTAACACTAGTTTCTCTTGTATATCTGAATGTTTTTTGCTCTGTATTGATCATCCGTCCACATTATATTTTTTATATAATATATACATATTTATATTCTTTTTTTCTTTTTCTTTTTTTCTTTTTTTTTTTTTTTTTTTTTTGCCTGTCCCTTTGGATCTTTAGCCATCAGAATTGTTGTCTGAAGGCCAAGAAAGATGCCAAGCGGATTTACTTTACCAAGTGGATCATCATGGCCTTGCCATATTGGTCCATTTGATTGACCTTTATTATAATTATGTATTTATTTTATTTTCAGTTGCTACAAACGGGACAGACATGACTGGGGGATAGGACAGGGAGAAAGAATGAAAGAAAGAGAGGGAGAGAAAGAAAAACAGAGGGAAGAAGAGATGTGAGAAATGGGGGGAAGAGAAAAAAAGAAAACACCTGGATCACCTGTATGGGGATAAGAAAAAACAGACGAGAAAACAAAAAAAAAAAAGCAACATAATAAATACAACACCATCACAATAAACTAGCTAACAGTAGATAACAGTAGATACTAAGTATTACATGTTATTGTGCAGTACGCAAGATCGACAGCGCACAATGTGCTTTGAGGTAGCAGCCAAGAAAAGTGTAGCTTGTTTTCTGTGAAAGCCACCTGTGTGCACACCTGTCTGGATCGGCACGCTTGTATTCAAAAGGTTTCTCCATGTAATGATCTGCTAGGGAGTGTGGGGAGCCATAGCCCCGTCCCTCAGGGCATGAAGCAGGTATGGACCACATTATATTTCTGCTTTTCATGCACTACATGCTGGACCATCACCATATCTGCAAAGATTTAAAAAAAAAAACCCACACTGACAAATTGTTGCATTGACGAGGAAAAGTGTGTGTTTGTTTTAAGGTATTACCAAGAAAGGAACAGCTGACAACCGAAGTAAATGAGAACAAGCTGCAGACACTGCCACTGAGTTAAAACTGTTGAATATATATCCTGTCACACCAACGCTGTGAAAAAAAAAAAAACTTCTCTGACCTTGCCTATCATCTATATCAGTAAAAAGCAGAAGTTGGACAAAAAGAGAGAAATGAAAGGCGTGGAAACAAATTTTTTTTTATGATTCTTTTTAGTTTTAACACAGTGCTATTTTTTGGTGCACAAGTTATGAGAAGCTCAACAGAAAGACTTCAGCAATGGCAGAGCAGAAGTTTAACAACACACCAGTCAATCTAAAACCTAAAAAGCGATGCCAGTCAGAAGGTAAGCTAAGCTAATGCTATTCCTTCTTCTCCCCTGTGCATCATTCATATTCGATGATTAATTATTTTCTTTTTGATCATTTCCTTGTTCCAAGGGTCACCATGTGTAAATACCATACAATTGTAATTTCTGATCATGCACCAGTGCGGGTTGATATCTCATTTCCAATGTGTGCGCAAGGCAATGGTTCTGGAAATTTGATTCAGCATTAATGTCAGATGAATTTTGAAAATTCATTTGCAAGTTGAATACCACATCAAGCTTTTTCTAGAAATGAATAACACTCCAGATGTTTCAAAATCTAAAATTTGGGAGTCACTAAAGGCATATTTGCAGGACCAAATTATTTCTTTTTCTACTTATAAGAATAAAAAGCGAAATGAACAGCTTCGAGAACTGACAGAGCTTATAGCAAACATTGACACACAATATGCCACCGGCCAAATGCAGAGGGTACTGCTTCAGCCTGAATTTGACACCCTCTCAATTAAAGAAACCAAGAAGCTTTTCACTTAGATAAAGACATCATGTATACGAGCATTGTGAAAAAACATCATCTTTTCACATCAGCTTCGTCAATCCACTACAGCCCAATCTATACCCCACTTACAGTTAGACACAGGTAAGATAGTAACACACCCTGACGGAATTAATGCTGCTTTCAAGCTATTTGATCAGGATCTCTATACTTCCTGCACTGATTATCCAGAGTCGGACTTGGATTCTCTTGTTTCTCAGCAGGGGCCCAAGCGGTTGGTAGGGACGGAGGTTACAGGTCGTAACTTAGTCTCTCTAAGGGAAGAGATTGTCTGTTCCCCCAGGACATTTAAGGACTCTGGTGGCCCCCTTTCACTATCACTACCACCATGTTACAACCTGTCTAGGGCCAGGCAATAACATGAGTGAGACCCCCCCAAGAGCCAATCAGCGACAGGAAGCAAATCCATTCTTTATAATGTGATTTATTTACAAAGTGATAAAAAGAGGGACAACAAAGCAGGAGTGTCAACACTTCAGGGTGAGCCAAGGCCAAGATAATAAACAAAACAAATCTAAACTGATTCCCACACCACTGACCTAACCAAAACAAAAACCATAAATAAAGACTGCGTCTAACCTCCTCAACTAATTCAAAACAGGAGAAAACTGGTGATCAAAAGAAACAGCAGCTCACCCCTACCCATTCCACTTCCACAACTGTCAAGATAGCACTGCACTCAGCGGCTGCCACAGGTATACTGCTGGGTCATGAGGAGAAATGCGAGAACCTCCCCCGCCGCGGCATTACAGCCTCATTTTAACGGGCGGGTCCTGCTGCTGGAACCAGTCACGACGGAGTTGTACATCCACACACCAATCGAAGCAGGGCCCTGGCGCAGCTGAAAGAACAAACAGATACATTGACTGCACAAAATAAACACATAAAATGCAAATTCGTAACAACCATCACTACCACCATCACTAACACCATCACTACAACCTTTATTGCAGTCCTAGCTCAGTCAGTAGTTCTGTTAGTAGCTCATGTTATAAGCTTTGTCACCGGTTCAGGCTCCTGCATTGTCACCCGCCCAGTTACTTGTTCAGTTCTTGGCTCAGACATCAACTCTGTCTCCAGGTCACTCATTAGTTCAGTCACCAGTGTAGTCATGTACTCAGCCATCTGTGTACATGATGTCCCATCTGCTTTTCAGGCTGCAGCCCGAGCTGGGTGTCTGTCTCACGCAGCTCAAACTAACTTCACCTCAGCCAGAAGGTTTCCGTACCATCGGGCCGTTTGTCTGTTCCAGCTGGGGGTTTATGAGAACCCAGCCAGCATCATGTCAAGTTAGCTGGGGGTTCTGGAGAGCCCAGCCAGCATCAAGCCACGTCAGCAGGGAGTTCTGGAGAGCCTGGCCAGCATCACGCCACGTTAGTTGGCGGTTCAGGAGAACAGTTTTATCCAGGTGCTTTGTCTCAGCCACAGGACTCCATTCTGTCTGGTCCTAGTCCTGGTCCTGCCTCATCTGGTCCAGCGGTTGCCATGGCACCACCTCGACCATGTCTAGCTCAGCGTGGGCGGCCACCTTCCTGTCTTCTGGCTGGACTTTTTCACTGGTCCAGACAGCCTTCAGACCTGTGTCACCACCGCCGCCTTCCACGCAGCCGGCCTCCGGACCTGTTTTGTTTCCGCCGCCTTCGGCTCGGCCGGCTTCCAGACCTGCTCTGTCGCCGCCACTGCCTTTCATGTGGTCGACCTCTCTCCTGTGTCCAGGCTGCTTCTGCTTTCCACGCAGTCGGCCCCTGGAACGTCTGGACTTTGGAGTTCTGTGCTGCCGTCCCCTGGGTTGACCATCTGAACTACTGAATTATGGATTTTGTGCTTTTGGTCTCCAGAGGTGTTTTTGGACACTTGTACTCCTGTCTGGAGATCCAGATTTTTATTTTTGTCATGTCTGTGTATTTATCCTCCAGTGTTCAGAGTCGTATCGTCCCTCATTGCTGTGTGTTACTCTCCCGGTGCTTCCTCCTGATCTTAGATCTCCCAGTATAGTTTTGTTTTGTATGCTTTTTCCCTGCCAGCAAATTAAGTCACTGCCTCCGTTAGTCCTGCATTTGGGTCCTTCCCTGCTTGCCTTCACACAGCACATTCACCATGACAGACGGCAGCATTGGGAGCAAAAATAAGTGGGATCACCAGGCGAAATACTATTCACAAGTGCTCTTTGTATGCAGATGACCTCCTTTTGTACATTACAGACCCAGAGGCATCAAATCCTTCAGCTCTGGACCTCATTGGATCCTTTGGCTGTCTGTCTGGTTAAAGATTAACCCTAGCTAAAAGTACACTGTTTCCTATTAATCATCTGCAAAGGAGGCTGATTACTCAACCTTTCATTTTACATTGAAACACTCCTTATTCACCTTTTTAGACAAAAATTTACCCCTATATTGGAAAAAACAAAATCAGATTTGGCACGCTGGTTAGTATCACCCATCTCTTTTGCTCAGCGGGTCAGCAATATTAAAATGTTAGTCCTGCCTCGATTCATGTATCTGTTCCAGATGATAAACCTTTTTCAACCATTTAGATGGACTCATATCATCTTTCATTTGAGACAAAAAAGTTCCAAGAATCCGTAAACCCCTTTTACAGTGTGCTAAGTCGGAAGGGGGCTTGGCCCTACCAAATGTTATGTATTATTATTGGTCTGCCAATATTGTGAACTTATCCATCTGGATGTGGGCTTTTAGGGAAGGCACTGAGCCACTTTGGTCCACCATGGAGCTACATGGAAATCTCACTACATCCCTTGTTGGAATAATGTGTTCAAGCCAGTCAGTCGCAATGTTAATTTTAAAAATCCTGTGGTTAAAAACTCTCTTAATGTTTGGTTTCAGTGTCGACAACATTTCAGTCTGGGGTGGTCGCTTGTCTGCTCCCCTATTGCGTCAAGTCATCTTTTTTTTTTTACCAGCTTTTACCAGCTTTTTACCAAATGCAGGGTTTGAGGTTTGGTGCAGTAGGGGAATTATCTGTTTCTCTAAATTTGTTTGTTAAAGGATCATTTTTACCTTTTGAAATGTTATCTAAAGATTTTGGAATCCCAAAGACTCACTTCTTTAGATACCTAAAAGTCCATAGCTTTGCTGTTAAACATTTCACTTCTTATCCAAGTCTACCTACTGATTGTCTGCTTGAGGACTGTCTGCAATTTACATATATATATATATATATATATATATATATAAAACTCAAATACATAGCATGCTGCAGGATACAAAGGCAGACTTCTTGTCCAAAGACAGACACGGTTGTCTTTGACAGACTTGTTCACATAGTAGTAATTTGTGTGCATATATTATACATTTTCCTGCATCCCTGCAAAGCCAATGTTTGTAATCGCAACTCCAGTTAAATTTTTTTTAATGGAAAATTATAAATAAAATTGTCAAAAGAAATACGGTCAATCGACAAAAACTATTTTCAAACTCAGGTTGTAAATCATGTAGATGAAAGCCTAGATCTTTATGTTTTAATCATTTCAGTACATTTCTTTTTCTGTTTTTTTACTGTAATAGTAAATGCAAAAAAAACCCTGACAAAAGACAAGTAAGATGTTGAGCTTACTAAAAGTGCTTGCACAAAAGACAAAATTTCCCTTGATAATGCAAGGTGAGGGTCTAAACCTCAACAAACAATCAAAAACTTTTGTGCATTGCAAATAACCAAAATATGCTTTGGAAAATTGTGGTTACTTAGTAACTAATTAATTCCAAATACCCTTTAACCAACAAAACAAATCAAAATACTCAGATTAACTAACCTTTCTTAATCAGGTATTTATTTTTTACCTGCCATTTAAACAGTCTTTGTCTTCTGTTACAACATTGTCATTCAATTCTTTCAGTTAAAACGAAGGAAAACAGCATGTTTGAAGAAATGAACATGAAAAATAAAGAAACTAAACAAACTTCTGACACAAATGGTGAGTTATACAAAGCAAATGCAAAACCACTACTTTTACTACAAGGCATCATGCAAAGTACTAACCAGCCTGTCTTACAAACTGGAAGGGTAGAAAATTTGGTGCCTCATAATCTGCAAATGACAGTGACCTCAACAGAAAAACAATAGTTTTTTTTTGTTAGTCACTTTAACTAACAAACTAGACTTGACATCCACCAAATTACTCACATTGACTACCTTTTTTTTTCTTGCCATGAAATCATTCTTTGTCTTCTGCTACAAGGTTACCCTTTAAGTCTTTCAGTACGAAGGCAGGAAGAAAATTTATATGAAGAAATGAACGTGAAAAACAAAGGAACTGAACAACCATCTGACACAAATGGTGAGTTATACAAAGACAATACAAAACTGCTACTTTTACGACAGGAACTGATATGAAACTTGCTTAGAAACTGGAAGTGTGCTGTTGCCATTTTCCTTACAAGAGCTTAATGACAACATCCTCGCAAATCACATTTTGATATGTACAGGATTCACTGTTATTGAAGTTTGATCCATAATATGGGCTTCACCTTGGTTTTGTCTCTGAACTTTTTCAAACAGATTTTTCTGTTTTTCCCTAGACAGTAATTTAAAAAGTTCATTAATTAGAATGGTTTTATGATTATAAAAAGCCAATTGATGATTTTAAGTTGACACAAGCAATTTAAAATCTTAAAAGTAAGAATTAGTTTGATTGCTATAATGAGTATTTATTTCTCCTAGATAAGCAGTGTGCATGTATAAAATTTTGTACATCAGTAACCATTTGCTGGGGTATTCTGTTACTGATCATGGCCCTTCACATCTATTGTGAGTATAACTTTCAAAATTAGTTCATCTGCAATGTGTGTGTAAAGCCAAAGAAGTGTTACATTTTGTTTTTCAGTTACCACATTGTTAATTCATAAGAACAAAGACTTATTGAGGAGTCAACTCAACTGGACAAACACCTCCACTGCCTTTGAAACACAGATCAGAGACCTCATTGCAGAAAACCAGAACCTAACAGAACAAATAAAACTCATGAAGATGGAGCTCAATCTTGGTCCAGGTCAGTGCAGTGTTGATGCCTACTGTCCCGAAGAAAATAACACTAGGCTCCAAATCTATCAGCTACAAAAATAGGTCATGTCAAATAAATGTGCACTGATGATCTTTATTAAGTGATTTTTATACTTGCAGAAAAGGCATGCAAAGCTTGTCAGGAGGGCTGGCTTACCTTTGAGTCAAACTGCTATGCAATTAATGATGCTGAACCTCATGAGCAGAAAACCTGGAAAGAAGCTCGAGAAAACTGCAAAGGAAAGATTTCTGAATTGGCTGTTGTAATTAATGCCGCAGAAAAGGTAATAAGAACTGTGGCTCATTAGCACAAATTTATTTAACAAAAATACATTTTCTTTTGATCTAAATACACTCTGTGTCGCAGTGTTTTAAGCAAACGATCTAAATACTCAAACTAATTTGAGTATTTCTTTTTTTTTTTTTTTTTTTAATTCGAGTATTTCTGATAACTTTCTCTTTTATCAGAAATATATCAGTGACAAAAGCTGGAAGAGTTCAGGAGAAAATGGATACTGGATTGGTCTGAGAGCTGAAGGTGGGAAATGGACATGGGTGGATGGAAGTTATCTGACTGATAAGTAAGAGAAACTTTGAATCAATAACAATTTAAAAATATTTTTCCAAATCTGGGATGAATCAATTTTGTTTTATATTAATAATTATCAGCTTTAATCAAACTTGTTTTTTTCCTCAGCTCCTGGATTCAGCAGCCTCCTTCTGATGGCCTCTGTGTAATTTCTGTCCAAAACGAAGGATTTAAATCAGTGAACTGTGACAAGAAGAAACAATGGATTTGTAAAAAGAGACCCTAACTGTATGAATTAGCACATTTAAACTTCAAATTACTTTTGCAATCTATAAATATAATTGCATATAAGCCAATAGCCTGCTACACTACTGTGGAGAAGGAGTGCTTGCCAATCCGGTGGTAGATCAACTCCCTTCGTTATTCCCTTCTGGGCCGCCCTCTCATCCTCTTTTCACTAGAGGTCAACTGGTTCTGGGCTGTTTTGATAACATGACGAAAGCATACTAAGAGGGCCTTGTGACTGATCAGCAGATATCATGAGCTGATAAGGGCAGGAAATATGTCTTTTAAACTAATACTTTACCTTGACTGGCATACATGCATTACAATTGATGGGTTTACTGCTGAGAGCCCACTGCAGTAATCGTGATAATTCATATTTCAGTCTGCAATTAGGTTAATCTTTTAGAACAATGCATTTTGCCATTGTGATATAAAAAAGATTTACAATTGTTTTAAAATGTCAATTATTTCATTACCTTCTCTAAAGCCAGCGTTGCATAAATTATAAGTCATGCCTCTGCTAGTTTCGCTTTCTGATAGAAATAAAGATTATTGTTAAAGGTTCCGTGGGCAGCAGGTAGGAATTGGACTCAAAAATACAGGAGTAGGGGAAAAAAGGAACAAACTGAAAAAGCAGTTTTATTGATGAACACAAACCAAGTACAAAATAATGAAGGTCAAACACAGATACCAAAAACTGGCACTCTATCAAGGACCCCATCAAAGTTGGAGCAATACAGAATGCACACAGCAAAAGGGAAACATGACAAGT